CTTATTAAATATTAATTTTAAATAATTTAAAGAATGGTAACGTTACGTAGTAGTTCTTACACTGTAAGTGTATAAAATGTTAAATAATTGTATCGCAGGTAAATTTTTATATTTTGTAGGAGGACCTGGAGGTGTGATGAGAGGTGGTCAACATGGCACAAGAGGAGGGCGTGGAGGATTTTCACGAGGCGGCGATGGTGGAAGGGGAGGTGGTGGAATGAGACAGTCTGGTAACCCAAGTAATCCAAGCTATCAAAACCGCCGCTAATATGTCAATGTTAAAGGCACTCTCCAGTTTCTTTCTTCTTGAACAAGTCATCGGTATATAACTACCATCCGCAATTCCCAACTCAAAATCCAGGACTATCTCGTATGCCACACGACGTGATTAAAGGCGCTATCCGTTTACGCTTAAACATAGCTTGCATCGTTTGTCAAGCAACAACTATAGGTTACGCAGCTGAAATTGTATGGAATACGAACTCGTGTAGGACATCCAGGTTATCGCATTTAAGCTAAGTTCGTCGTGTTCGTGGATACAAAATAATGATTTAGTAAAATAATTCATTGAACGTTCAACTTAGTGCGTTGAATATTTGATGAAACAAATACTACGAGTTCGTTCTTCATACATTTACATCAGATGATCTACAAGACTTTACGAAGAAAACATAAAACTACATTCATTTGCACATATATGCATAGCAGAGCGACGCGTGATATCCTCTTTAGAAATATGGGCGCGTTTTTGTCTCCTGACACGCAGCCCACGTTTCTTAGAAGTTAATATCCAAGAAGTAAAAATAATTGCCAATTGTTGTGATAAAGAGCAGAAAAAAATTCAAAGAAAGAGGAACATCAGAACACGTGTGCGGCATGTAAAAACGAGGGGCATTGTAGAAATACACGCACGCATGTGCTCACACTACTTCCCAAGAGACCGGGGCGCTCTTACGCGCGCATACAAATAGAGAAAGAGAGAAACAGCTACGGTTCGATAATATACCTTTTGTTTTTTTCTTCGGTTTATTTTTTTTGGATATATATTACGATAGTCATACGTCGCTCTTTTAGTTTTCTCCGTTTGCCAATCGCATCAAGGAGACATAAGCGGTACGAATTCCGCTATCGTATAAATAAGAAACGAGTCAAACTAAGAGAAATTAAAACGAGAGGATACGAACCGTTTCTTAACTATGGAATATCGTCGTACATTTCATATGCTCTCGAATTAATTCATTGGCTGCCGATGAAACGTTCCACCTACATGTAGAAAGTCGGCAATAATGTTTATAGGTGGTAGTTGATCGGTGTTGGTTAACGAATAGAGAACTGCGGCTGTTCTGTGGTCGCATATAAAAAGACACAGTCGATTTTTCTTACAAAATATGGCCAACTATTAATCGACCGGTATCGATTGATAGTGGGACCTTTAGACTGCAGCTGGTCTCGCCATTTCCTAATTCATCTGCATGTCGCTTATGCTCTATTTTGTTCCAATCTGCTGATTTTTGTTCGATTTTCTTTTCCTCCTCATGCATCTTCATGTATTAGGCTTCTGCTTTTTTCCTTTTACGTTGACATTCGCCAATTCCTGTTTACACTATTGTTTCTGTCAACCTTTCGTTCCTTTTTCTGCTTTTTTTTTTTTTGTCTTTTATTTAGGTTGTATAAGGATGATCGTTCGGTTCATTTACAAATTATATAGTATCTGATAACTTAATAGTCTCTGGTGATCGCAGAACTTGCAGTGTGATGCTAAAACAGAGAGACCTAGTACCGTTATAACAACACAGAATTTTAGCTTGACTTCATGCAAAATGTCGCAATTACAGAAAGTTGCGGGAATATTAGAATGTATATTGACAAAAAAGTTGCCGTGCTTATTGACGTATCTAGCTTTATTCTTGTAATTATTATACAAACATAAATAGCAATTTTCCAATCTTCGCACTGAGGTGACGAATGTTCATATAGAAATATTAAACTTCTTCTTACATCTGGATCTTTTCCTCGATATTATACTTCAATATCAAGAATTAAATCGAAATAAGTATAAATATTCATTTTCGAATCTTAATAGTTTTCTTGCTGTAAAATGCACTTTTAAACGTTTTTCAATCTACGCGTTGTCGTATGAACGAATAGTTTTATTTGCATGAAGTATAAAGTAACAGTGATTTGGTGAAATTAGACTGAGTTGTTTGTCGTATTGGAGTCCTTGCACTTTCAGGGTTAGACCCTCTAGTTGTGTTTTCTGGCTTCGCAACTCCGTTACTAGCTCGGAAAATGTGTCTGATTGCTTCTTGCATAGCTCTAGTATTTCTTTTAGGATCGCGGTATCACTCTGCGACGCTTGAGGAGGGGTTGCCTCCCTGGGTAGCCTGGGTTCCACCACCTTTTTTTTCTTCCCTCTTGTGACGGGTGGAGTCATCTCTGTATCTTTTTCTTTCTGTTTTCTCCTTGTCGTCCTTGGCGACTGTAGGAGTGTTGGCTCCTTCGTGGATGGTCCCGCCTCCTTCTCGCTGACTGATGATGAGGTGTGGGTCCTCTTTGTAAAGATTATACCTTCTTTTAGATCACTCATCTTGTTTTAAAGCTCTTTTTGGTCATTTTTCTAGTTTATTCTCTTTTATCCTCGTCTGGTTGTTTGACCCTTCTCATCCTTCTCTTTGAAAGGGACTCTTCTTCTTCATCTGTGTCTGAAATGAGTTCCTCACTGATCTCAGCTAAATACCCTATTTTCACGAGATTTCTTGTTTCCTCTGATACCCCTGCACCTTTTCTCTTAGATCTCCCTGCCATTCTTTTGATGGTGGCCTAACCAACTCCTTACATCTCAGTGATGACGAACTGCACTTCTTTTCCTAGCAAACCGTGCCCTTTCGTCATATACATGGTAGCAAAGTATAGGTTCGGAAAGTTTCGGTGGTGGAAGAAATCTGCTCCCCCAAGGGGAGCAAGTTTTAAGTAGTGAATGTTTTTTCCGTGTTTATTTCTTACGTCTTTTAGTGTTTGGATTAGGTCGTAGGCTTCTCTTGCCACTGACAGGTGATTTCATCTGGGTGGAGATGAAACTTTCCATCGTGAAGATAGCTTTCATGGCAAACCTTTTCCAAACCATTGTTACTTGACAAATCACTTCCTCTTCTAGGCTGGCCGCATCTGGATGTGATCTTTCTCTTTCTGGGATCCATTCTAGCAAGGTGGGACGTGCTTTTATTCATACTTGGAAGCTCTTTATTGCTTCATAGACTGCTTGTTTTGGGATTTCCCTGTTCATCCAGTGATCCTCTGTCTGAAGTGAGGCACAGATGGCCCCCCATCTCTTGTCTAGAATTAGAAATTAGAAAATAATTAGAGGATAATCTAAAAACTTATCCTTTATATGAGAAAAGTAAATTCAGCACGTGCACTTATTGTATATCACCAAATGGAATTGAGGAATATTTTAATTCCTAATATCTTCATAAGTACCCTAATATGTAGATAGTATTTTCCTATCTGTATTTTCGACACGTGTCCGTATAAAGGTGCTAGGGCAGGATGAAACAAAAGAGAGTGAGTCAGCGTATGAGTGTGTGAGTGAATGAAAGAGAAAACTATGTTTTTCAAAAAAAAAAACAAAAAAAAGAAAGAAAAAAAGCACCAGAAATATTTTCCAATTTGTAGTAACAGTTTGCAAAATGAGTTCTGCGATTATTAGAGACAGGGCGATATCTTTTCTGGTCTATTCGTTACATGTTTTTTTTTAACCAGATTTTAATTTATCTCTAAATTGTCATCACATTAAAAGTCATCGAATAATCGGAACAAAATTGTCAAGTCAACATTGAAACAATATAGAAGAATCATGAGTGCAAAAGTAAAAGTAATACGAAACTACCATCCACATGAAATGGTGGTGTTGCGCATATGGTAATTTATGTGCCATCTTGTACGTATACACCTCGCCCGAATTCAAGTGCACAAATGAAAGTACAGAATACAAATAGAGAATGAACTGTTTTTCATAACGCGTTGACAACGCAGAAGTGATAACAATATGTTGATAGTGATAAATTAACTGATTTCGAATTCGATAAAAATCATAAAGTGCACGGCGACTAAACCACAAAATGCTACGATATTAAGGCTGAGAATATGTGAAAAGTAATTATTTACGTTTCTTATTGATCCATTAAATTGTTACGTAGTATACATTAAACATCCGCAATAGTTTGTAATTGAATGCGTTACAATTGCTATGTCCGGGATGCAGCAGAGTCATCGCAGATTAGTGCTTGATTTTCTTTGCACTCTCTCTCTCTCTCTCTCTCTCTCTCTCTCTCTCTCTCTAATGCACACCTTTTCTCCAAGGTATAGAATTTTAGTTAAGTAGAGCTTTATTCGGTGTGACGTTTTTGTCTAACAAAATTCGATGTTTTTAAAACATTGCTTTCTGCTGTATCGCGATGATGCTGCTTTGTCTCGGTTATAGATAAAGAGGTAATTTCGCGTAATTAGTTGGCTGCATTGTTTCTTGTGTCGAATACGTAGAATATTTACAAAAGCATGCTCGTGCTTATGAATTATCCAGTCGTCCATAAGAAAATTTTATCATTGCCAAGAGTTCATTGTAAAATAGAAGATTGTTTATTTCGACATATGTTCAAATGCCGAAATGCCTTCTATTTCCATATAATAATAATAATAATGATATTTTCAATTGTACAAATAATAATATACTAAATTTTGTATATTCAATGAATGACGTTGCTAATTGTATGCGTCAAATCAGTTACTTAATTTGTCCTTCATAAACTGTAGATTTAAAAAGCGATGACGAACTTTCACGGCTAGATATTTTAACGAGCTTCTTTTTGAGCTTCGACGAATAGAATGCAGCATCTTAATGTTTACCTTGCTTTTATTTAAATTTTCAATATGTATATACAGTTTTTAGGTAAGTTCAGTGGAATCGCGAGATATACGTTAATAAGCATTTCATGTCTAACTGCATTGAAAAGAAAGTGTTCAAAAGCCACGCAAACGCGAGATCACCTCTTTATATACCTGAACGAAAGCTCTACAAATTTTTAGTGTGAATGTTTTCGTTTCTAAGTGACTATTATTAATAACAGTATAATAGTTAGAGGATGGCGAATAATAAGTTGTGAATTTTTGTAGCATACATTTTTATTTCGGTCTATCAGGCCAGTTTGTGTGTACAACCATGGTCAACGTTACTACGACAAAAAAGGAAATAATGTTAAAGGAAAATGAAAAAAAAAAAAACAATCATCAAATGTATTGTAACTTTTTGCATTTAGTATAATATACCTACCTTACTACCAACTCCTATTAGTATCTCTTTATTTATTGAAATATTTCACCATTTCTTTGGAATTTCAATGAAATATTTTAGTTGCAAACTTAAGTCAATTATTATGTGTATATGAGTTTAAGAATGATTATCTATAATAATAACGACTAATAAATATTATCTGTAATTCTTTAGAAGGATATTCTAATTTACTTAAATAAGTTCTAAACGTTTACTTGGAGTAAAACATGATTTTTCTAATTATAGCCAATTTTCCATCGAAAATGTTGTTTTTCTTGTTAATTTTTTGTTAATAAAATGCATAAGAAGCAGAAACTAAGAAGGGAAGTATGTTCGCTTCTTTGCCTGTAACATTATATATATTATATTTGTTCAAGTGTAGGTAACAAGATGAAAATAGAAAATACATAACATTTTGTTATTTGTCGAACGAATTCTGATAAATGTGTTAAGTTTGAAAGAGATAAATTTGAAAGTTTTGTAAAAATCTCCACGTGTTTGTGTATCTTTCCCGTTTAATTTTATTTTCTCTTATATTTCACTGAAATATGCGTACAGTATTTTGCGTAAACGTATAAACGTGTCTTTATGTATAGTTTCGTTATATAGTTCGATGTAAATTATATTATTTCAATTAAACAGTCGAATTGATTTACTCTTATTCTTAAACGAATAGTAAACGTAGTAGTTGCTTACTTATGATCACTTGAAACATTTCTTCACAACAGTGACCTGATTACTCGTTGAACAATATGAAACTGTGACAGTACGTAATGCCTATCAATTATTAGCTCTCGCAGTATAAGCACCAAAGAAAGAAAAAAAAAAAAAAGAAAACACCGATGACATTTTTTTATTGTATAAACTATAATGTGAAATAAAGTTTCAAATGACCAAGGCATTGTTGTATGGGTAATCAAAAAAACGATACGTTTAAACGAATTGATTTCGTCTTTAGATTAGAAATGGACGTACAAATTCTAATTTTATACACGTAATATCGAACGGAGCCTTATAGCTTTATAGAATCTAATGGAAATTATAAGCAGTTTCATACTATACGCTAATTATAAGGTTTACATTACGAATGAATTCAGCGGATAACAATGATGAATCTCTGATAGATAATAGATTTTAAGTAAATTTGTAACGTACAATTTGATATGTTTATTATAAGATGTTTTTATTCTTTGCAAAAACGATATGACTGAAGCAATATCTGACATTTTTTACCAACAAGTATAACATTGTAATATGATATAATTAAATAAAAATAAGCATATTAGTTATTTAACATTATAAACAGTCTTGAACATTATGAATGTAAATGTGTTAATGTACTGCTGAAGAATATTTTTTCATTTTGCTGCCGTTTCCGTAAATTGTTGCAATTTTCTAAATAATGTAATACGGTTCAGCGACCTTATATCGTTAATACTACATATAAGCTATGTAACAGTCAAGTTTCGTTAAACGCAATTTTCTACGGGATTATGTAAATTTTTATTTTTTAATACATATAGCATGATTTGTACATATGAATTTGTCAAGTATGTTTTCGCTCGTAAATGAACTATTACTCGGCAGAAAGTTTAATAAAAAGAATTAAACATTTGTATTTTGTTTTTAGAGATTTACTTTTCTTTATTTTAACGCGATGCAGCGATGTTGATACAGTGAAATGTGTTTGTACTACAGCTTTCTTTATATTTAATCGTCTACTAATATTTGTGGAATAAACTTTTATAAATTGAAAATCGAGTCGCAAATGTTGAGCATTTTATTAAAATGACTGGCATAGAGGAGTAAAGAGAGTGTAGGAGAGAATTACTCTAATACAACTGAAAATATATTTCTGAGAAGGAAGTTTATCATTTTGTGTTCTACCTAGGTAATTGAAAAAAAAAAAACTCAAGTTGCATTTTAGCAATTCGTCGTACGATTTCAGAAGTGTTCATAACCATAAAAATATGACCAAATGTATACAGCTATATTTAAACGATAGACCAATTCCTGTTCATTCATGTTGAATAATAACGATTTAAAGTTGTAAGTTTTTTATGTTTCCTTCTTTCTCCGGCATATCTAACAATTACATTTATCTCACTAGTACTCAGATAAATTATAGCACAGAATACTTCCATTAGAAATTTATGTAATATTTACCGTACGCTATTTGGAATAATCATAACCTTATTTAATTGATGCTCAATTATACCGAAAAATAACCTCGAAGATTTTACAAAGCCTTGCCACAATGTGTATCCGTAATGTGCACGGTGCAAGGGCACAAGAGTCAAAGGAACACAGAGAAAGAATTGGAATTCTTGTTGAGTAATTTCAAGATTACTTGGAAAAGAAACTTCGAGACGAGTGTGTACTGGTTGGCTTACATATGGAGACCCATGTTGTGTAATATATCGCACAGTATCTTGCTCGTAAAGCGACAAGAGAAACGAGAAGCGGTGCATATGGCAGAAAGATCAAACGGGGGTGTCGGAAGAAAGAAAAACGATGAGATCATCTCTGGTTGCTCGCGGCGAGTTCGGCGAGTCTCCGCCGGCCGTTCCTCCGCGCGCTGCGCGCAGTCAGTACCGGTCCAGCGACCAATTTGGAGGGCTCTTTTAAACGTTCTCGAAAACAGCCGGAGAAAGGATAAAACAGCAACGCCGGCAACAAGGGAAAGGAACGAAACGCGAAAAGAGGTACGTTATTGTAACCGTGCGGACAAGTGTGCATTTCGTACAGGCATAAGTATGCAAGAAAATTGTCGCGATTAAACGTTTCTTCGAAAATAACTTCTGACCAATCGTTCACGCCTTCCAGGACTTGATCGTACGCTATCTTGGGCAACCTTATTACTACATTTTTACGAATGTTCCTAACGAATATTCCAGCTGTAGGAATTTAATATATCCGCTCTGTGTCGAATTACTTTATTCGGACAAATTATTCGAAATACAGCAGTTCCTTCTTTTCGAGGATCTGCAGCGGCAAGAAATTAAGAATTGTTAAAATACTATCGTTTAGCATAAGTACACAACATTCAGGACTCTAAATATAAGTTTCTTCAGGACTATGTTATAATTATCATAGTATTAAAAGAACGAATATTTTAATTATTAAAACTTAACGCACGAGTTACAGATTTTTATTTAATATTTAAGATATTCGTGAAATTTTCAGTGAACCTAATACGATATTAAATAACAGATATGAAATCCTTGAAATTTCATTCCGGCTTAATGTGTTTATTTCCAAACATTGTTTACAAACTATTGCCTCTTTCGATCGAATGCTTTCACAGATAAGAGAACTTGGCGTATTAAAATTCATTAATATCGCTCTATTATGAGCATTGTTACAAGAAATATGTTCAAATATTCTTGAAGGGATTCCAATGATGAAAGATGTATTACGCGTTTCTTGTTGAAATCGTCAATTTGGCCACTTAATACACAATATGTTCAATTAAAAATAAACACACCCACGCGCAAACATATACAAATTAAAAAGTAAGGAAATTGTTCAATTGACGAATGTTTCGTAGTATAGTGAATATAACGATATTTCAGAAATTTTATTCAAACACTACGCTGCTATTAATTTCGTTACGCGGAAGATTTTACTGATTATCTAATTAAGATCATCGACGAGGAAGTTACTGAAGTCTCGAAACCGTTGGTCTAATTAAATAAACAGCGTTGTATTGTTTCTGTAACACAAACTCGGCTCATACTTTATCTGAGTGTATGTACCGGGTAAACACATTAATAAGAGGCGTTTGTCGCAACCAGCTTATCTTGTCACACATTCCGCGGAAACTGTTCTTTTTAGAACGGAAATATAACATCCTTTATACGAAAGAAATATATTGTTATCAGGACCTTCGGTTTTCTGGAGCGGGTAATTTGAGCGAATGATATTGCACGCGTCTGTATTCGCGAAAATTTTCTACGACCGTAACACGTAGGTACACTATCTGTCAAAACTTTAGAATCACCGTGCGCTGCAAGTTACACAAACGTTTCCGTGAAAAATGTTAACAGGTTTAAGAACTTTTCAACAGATCGTTTAATCTTTTAATTTCAATTATCTTCACTTTTCAACGAGACGAGGTAAATTGTGCTATTGACTTCCACGGTGTAAATTTCAAATTTGTAAAGAATTGTCAGCAGATGTGATATCGATGAAAATTGCATTTTCGATCGTAATGATCCCAATGCTCGTGGAAGAACGTCTTATTTAAAAAGTTGGCCAAAATTCGTATATTGAAACTTAATTAAAAACCAAGTAGTGTTTCTTTCTTATAACGTTACTAAAATGGAGTATCGTAACGGCCATTTTTGTAACGTCGGAATTTAGACAGAAGAAGGCCATAAAGGATTTTTCTTTCTGTTATTATTCTATTGTAATCGTTATTGTTTTTAATTTTCTGTAAGCAAAGTCTGTCTGCGATCTAACATTCCTATGATATTATGTGAAACTTATTTATCAAATTGGTAAATTCTGGTTCTCCTTCCTTGCGTATGCGTGTAACTTTCTAATGGAGAGTGTCGGTATGAAAATTTCATAATTAAAATAAATCGCCTTATTTCTGAATTTTTCATTCTCCTGTGAACGTTCACGTGAAATTGTACCAAATAATTACGTTACACCGTTTCTACGTGCATTTTGGCTCCGCTGAAACTTGTCAGATAATTTTGGCCAACTTTTCCATACAAATTCTCCACTGTGCGTCGCGTAATCGAAAACGTCCTAGAGACAATTGTAGAATTGCGAAGATCGTATTGTACGGGCAAGGCCGCATTTACCATAAAGCGCATTAGGCGCGAGCTGAGGCCTCACTCTCTACGGGGCGACATTTTAAAACTTGGTGCCATTTTTATTTCATTAAAAACGAGTCGTTATGGAGATGTCGACTTTTATTTTCGATGAACTTAGAGAAAAATGTGTATGAATTCGATTAACTGAGATAGACTTGTTCTTTAGAGCCTCCGACAGTGTAAATGCGGCCCTGTGTACAAGGTTATAAGGTCTCGAATTTTTGCAGCACAGTAGCACATGATATCTAAATCAATTTCACGACGATCAGCGAGAAAGTGTTCTTTGGTAAAAATGTCTACTCAGACGGTAGTCGAGTGTTCTTTGAGCAACGTCAACTACACGAGGAACAAGTTTCATTTTGTAAAATATCCATCGTCTTGTTGCTCTTTCGACGAAAGGATACGTTTTACGAAAGGTACTCGAAACACAAGTTACTCTCGTCTATTTCCACGATTTTCCAGTTGCTGTTAAATCTCGACGAGATAAGAAAGCATTTCGGTCACGAGAGAAGCGTATAGTAGCGTGGTACGTATTCATTTAAACGTTGAATGACGACGATTACGCGATTTCGTGGGCGCCGATCAGAGAAGCGATAAAAACAGGGCCGTTCGCGATTCCTACATGCCTCCAACGCTTCGTAAATTGTATTTCTGGATCGTCTTGTTGCCGCGACACACTTGGAACTTCCCTTTTACCAGAAACTCCACATCAGCTTTTTCTGTAAGATGATCATTGGATATAGTTATCGTATGAAATTGATACGTTTTATGCAGTTATATTTCACCTAATTTATACGTAACCTAACCTAACTTAACCTCAAATAAACGAATAAATATTTTAACCCTTTCGTGCAGGGCCGCAAGTTGGGGCCTTACTCTCTAGGGGGCCACATGATCAAACCTTATTCCTCACAAATAGCAATACAAAAAAGAGCCTAATTACAGTTGCAAAATAAGATACGTATTTTTAAATATTAAAGTCAAGAGGCCGCCGAACACGGAAACTCTAAATTTACGAATGTTCGCAATTTATCAAGAGGTCGACATCGACGAGAATTTCTACGGACCAATAATTTATTGAAACGAGTTATCACAGAAATGTCAAGTTTAATTTTCAATAAACATAAAACAAAATGTGTACGAATTTGATTAACCGAGATAGACTCGTAACGATGTCGCCGCCTGGGGCCTCCGAAAGTGTAATCGCGGCCCTGCTTTCGCGACCGTATTAGTGTTTTACGAATTTTTTGTTTATCCATCGATCATCAGTACGGTTCTGCAGTAGATGCTAAATTCGAATCAATTTTTATTCGAGTACTCATATGGAACGTGTGCATTCCACTGGTCACCAAAGGGTTGAAAGTTGCTTGAACTTTTGCTAAATGTTATAGAAAATTTAAATTCCGATGTTCTAGCACTCATACGATACGCAAGATACCTTTGCGCTGTTAGCTGTAGGGTTAAAGTGATTTCGTGGAATAGGCGAATCGCGATACGTTTCTTCGAGGAATTCAAGTCTCGTACGCAGAATGTTTTCTGATTGTTTGATTCGTAAGAACAAAAGGGTTATACAGGGTGTCCCATTTAAATCAGTCCTCTCAAGTATATCTGCGAAACGACATAAAAGAACGTTTCAAATAAAACTTGAATGGTTTCGAGAGGCACATAATTTGATACAAGTAGACTTTTTTATAGATGAACACGTAGGGAACCTATGAAGATCAACTTTGCTTCTTTTTTCGTTTAAACGGCCTGATATATTTTCGAAGGCATTGATCGATGTAGCTTGTCGTTAATTAATGCCTAGATTAATGGTTTTTTTTGGCGCATACAGCTTGGTATTCTTTTGTAGGGAATGACGGGCTACATCGAACAGCGCATTCAAAAATATAGGACGCCATTTTGAAAAACAGAATTTACCTTCGTACGTTCCCTGCGCGGCCATCTTTAAAAAAATTACTTGCGTCAAATTGTGCGCCTCTCGAAACCATTCAACTTTTATTCGAAGCATTTTCCGATATGATCGACAGTTTCGTAGATATTCGAGTGAGTTAATCTAAATGTGACACCCTGTATATGACAAAATTACGGAGAATAACGAGGACAATTGCAATTGTCAATACATACGTTGAATTTCTACGATACAAAAATAGAAGAGTAAATGTAACGTGGAAGTAGAACATGCTCTAGTTTTATTTAAACAAAATCTAGGTTTGAAGTTTGCAAGAGAGATGAAAGAGTAAAAAAAAAGTGTAATCGTAACAGTGTTTAACGATTCGCGGAAATTTCATGCGGTGAATGTAATCAAGCCGAATGAACCTTATTCATAAACCAAGTAAGATATATTTAGCACGTGAACCCGCTAGCAAGTAAGGGAACCGTGTTTTAATTCGCAGATATAAACCATCATACGAGAACACAGGAACATAATATTTGTAATTCAGTTATGAACTAACAGTTAATACATGTACAAATATTTTCTTAATCATTCACCAGGCTTGCTTTCTTAACGAGAAATTCGTTCTTAATTTTCTTCGAAGATAGTAACAGGATAATCTCGAAGAACCATATCTATAAATACTTGCATGCGTTAAAAAAATATGTTTAATTAAAGTAACAACGGTTCGTTCAGGGCCGTATACTTTTGAGAATAAAAGTCGACATTTTCGTAATAACACATTTCAATGGAATAAAAATAACACAAACTTTTAAAATGTGATCCTACAGAAAGCGAGGCTCCGGTATGCGCCTAAATGCGGCCCCGTCAATATCAAAGTACCTGACTTAGATTAGCATACTTGAAGAAATAATCGAATTAAACGTAAACTAAGAATTTTTTCGATCTATTCCACATGCAGTTGATTTTTCCGCTGAATAATTGATAACAATTGAAAAATATCTAAGTTCTCGTAAGTAAAAATCGCAGCATCGTTTACCATTTACTTTTGCAGACATTTTCTTATTAACAAAATTTATTCACCATTTATAAATGTAACATTCTAATTGTAACTTTTCTAAAGCAATACTCGAACAAATGAAAACAACATTAGTGGGAAGAACTAATAGCGAAGTCCTTTTAAAATCATGCACATTTAAAAACAAGTGAACATCCTTCAGGCTACAAGTGGGCGTTCGTATTCCGTTGATGAATTCATCGCGACCTTCGTTTCTTGTCATCAATTCGAGGCAATAAAGACAACCGTATAAATAGATTTTATCATCCGCATTTGTCATAAGATGTATTAGGTCATCCACATAAGTTCGTGCCGAAAGGAGAAATATTTTAACGAAAATTCAAGGAAATACTACAACGAGGACAATATAATGGTCTTACCAAGGAAAAACAGCTGTGGAATGAGAAGGCGCTTACGTTCTTTTTTCTCTTTTATCAAATTTAATGGTTCGTTGGAAGTATTGATCTAAATTATAAAATTTCACACGAACTTATCGGATGACCTAATATTCACAGGCGTAAAAAATGAAGGAAGTGAATTGAGTGCTCGCAGTGTGCATTGAAGTTGTTACGAACATTTATAAAGAATCGTGATTTCCAAGTATCTGGGTTATCGCTTCGTTGCTCCTATTAAGGTCTCAGAGATTTATCGCTGGTCACGTTGACCCGAGCGGAATCGGTCGTTCATACACGTTACATTACAGTGAATTTTCAAAATTAAACCGTAACGTGTATAGTTTCGCAGCAAACGATCTTCAATTGAAGGCACCGGTTAACTCATGTTAAAATAATAAACCTTCGTCGCGGAGGAAGTTTACAGAAGAACGTTGCGGAGGACAGACGCCCGCCATTTATTTATGTTTTCACCCTCAAACATGTGAAAAAAGAAAGAAAATGAACGTCTACTTTAAGACCAGCCGGGGTTAAAATGATCCGTTAGTAACTTCCCAAAAACGAGCGAATTTTCCATACTGATACGTATTATCGCGTGTAACTTTCAGAATTTCTTTTCTGTATCTTCACTTCGATTTGTATCGATGTGAGAAAAATTGTTTAATCACGTTTAAAGTGACAAAAGTTCACTTTTGAATTCACGTTAAGTTCACGCACATATCGATTGGTTTTTGCAGAGATCGCAATGCGGGCGAAACTGCAGCTCCTTTTATTTGCGTTGGTGTTAGCGTCCCTTCTAGCGGACACCTCGGCCCAACAGGTAAGATAACCAGAAAATAAATACATCAACAAAAATTCATGTAAAAAATTACACCGTTTGTTAAACTGTTCACGGCTATACGATTTCCTCTCTACTTTCTTCACCTTAGAATTTATTTTACAGATTCCTACTGTTAGCAGCAAATCATTTAATAACACGTTTCTACGAAATACAGAAGCTATAGTAGGAGCCAAATATATTGGCCGGTCAAGGCCACTTCTCCTCCGTCGCTTTTCAGTTCCACTCTTAATGCTCGACGGATAACAGTTACCAGTCACCCTGTGCAATTACACTTGCCTTGGTATATTGTCAAAAAAAAAAAAAGAAAAAAAAGAGGTGTATCCTGATAAGACGAAGAAGTAAGACAAATGTAACGTTACAAAAATAGATGCGCCTATACGTTGAACTGTCGAACTACTACATATACAGGTCTTTTTCGGTGGAGTTCGTCGATGTGAAAAAGCGACGGAGAAATGGCCTCTACCGGGCAATACATTTGGCTCTTACTATAGAGTCATATAGGCTACTATGATTATCGATTTTTAGCGGCGAAAAAAACATCGCCGTCGTACGACCACGACGGAAGCCAGCGTTCAAGATGAGGTCATGAACATGCTTGAGGCTGATGAAATAGCCGAGAAGGCAGCGGAGGATACTGAGGTCACCGTTGAAGATGGTAGGAACGAGGTTGGATCGAAGCGTCAGAGTTTGCTCCGTATGGACCCGTGTATGGATAAACACTGCGGCGCAGGACGAGTTTGCAAGGTTCGTCAGAGGCAACAAAATGATTTATTATTGCACAGATACCTTTATCCAAATCCTCTTCGCGTACACCTAATTTAAAAATACGAATATTATTTCAAAGAAACACTTACGACGAATGGGCTTTTCGTTGACTTTATTTTTCAAACTTTCCCTCGATACCAACCTTTGAAAAGAAACATTAGCTGAGATTCTTCGATTTGGTACACAAAACGTGAAAGGTTGCTTCTTTTGAAAATAAAAGGTCCTATTTAAAAGTTTTCAAATGAAACTTTTTCCAACTTCATATTGTGCTCGCGTAGACCGTTTCTTTCGGGATCGAAGTATTCATACGTTGCAAAAGCTACTGTAATTTTAGGTCGTCGACGATGATACCGCTGAATGTATCTGCGTTGAGGTTTGCGACGAAGAGGTAGATCCTAGGAGAAAAGTTTGCACCAATTACAATGAAACTTTTGGAAGCGACTGTGCAGTTTACCAAGCGCGTTGCTTCTGTGACACCGATGATCCTAGATGCAGAGGATCTGACTATCAACATGTCCACATTGAGTACTATGGTGAATGTCGACAAATGCCTGTAAGTATCTGTCATCGTTATTGATGAATCGAGGCATAATAGCAGAATGATAAATCCTTACTGTTTACAGTTTGTCGCGTATTGCGAGAGTTAACCCTCTCTCTCTCTCGCTCTCTTCCCTGAAATTTGACAAAAAATTAACGAAATTAAAAAGAGCAGAACATATTTTTTTTTTAACTATCGTTCGTCTTATCTTTTACATGTTGTTGTTCTACTGTACAAACGATTTCCTTGCAATTTTATATCTTTGCTTGCGTTTACTAAACATGACGCAGTTGTGTTACTTTGTCATACTATTGTATAAGGATGTAAATACTTGTTTATAATAATTTTACGAAAAGAAACGAAAGTGAATCATTAAAAAGTAGCAGGTACATCTTTTAGCATTAAAATTTCACGTACATTATTATACAATTGAACAATTCCTTCGCTGCAACAATTTAGTAAAAATCCTAGCTAAATTTCTATATAAAACTATACAACTCTGTTGTGTTAAGAAAATTACGATTAAAATACTTTATTTAAAAAATAGGTGTTAATTCTTCTTTTTTTTTTTTTTAAAGGAATTAGAGCAATGTTTGAAAAATATTTAAATGGAAAAGGATATAAATAGCAAGTTTATAGTTTTGTTTTAATTATCATTTCATCTCTCAGATGTGCAAAGAGGCAGATATGGCTGACTTTCCAAGGCGTATGCGCGACTGGCTGTTCAATATTATGAGGGATTTAGCTGATCGTCAAGAATTGCCATCGCATTACTTGAAAATGCAACGAGAAGCGGAAACGAATCATACATTGCGTTGGTCTAACGCAGCCATTTGGAAATGGTGCGACTTAGACGGTCACCCCCATGACAGGGCTGTTTCCAGACACGAACTTTTCCCCATTAGAGCACCTCTGATGGCCCTCGAGCATTGTATCGCACCATTTTTGGATTCCTGCGATCTTAACGACGATCATAAAATTACTCTGTTCGAATGGGGCAAATGCTTACAACTCGACGAGGTAACATAATAAATTTTGCCACCTTGAAATGTAATTCTAAACTTAATTTAATTTTAATTTTTAAATCTGTAAAGACAGATGAACCGTTTAACGTAAAAGAATTAAGTTTAATGCGAAGTTAGATATTTATGAGTTTGATAGTTACAATTTCTTAATTATTAATAAGCGTTACGCTTGAAATATTTATGATAAAATATTATTTTTAGTTGAAAGTAGGCGTTGTAATAGCACAGTTGATTTCTTTCTTCTCTTTGAAGATTTGAAATATTGCAGCGTTGAAGAGTTAAACAATATTACAATTGATATATTATTCGTTGAATAACGAAGTTGAGGAAAGTTGATCAATTTTTTCTCTCTTCAGTTTGCCTTTATCATTTGAAGGATTTAATGAATTTCTATGACGAGGAAAATAGTACTTCTTTTCTTTTTTCTCAACGTGATTTGAACATTTCAAAAAAATTTTAATTAAAAACTTCTAATATACATGTGTAACAAATGAAATTCTTAAAAAATAATTTCAGTCACTTTAAATAATCACGCATCTGTTAACAACACGGATATTCTCTTCATATGTTTACTGGAGCATTATAGGTCGTTTGCTCGTGACGTATAAATTTTTCAAACAATTATTTCCGAATATTCTTTATAAACTTTGATACTTCTTGTTAGTCCTGTGATTTTATTTTTACCTATTTAATAGGAAGCAATTTTTATTTCCTTGTATATAAATATTTATGAAACTATCGCTACGCTAATTTTGTACATCCTTGTTTCTTCGCTATATCTTTATTTTTATTCTCTGTCATTTGCTTCAGTGAACAACATATGGGTATTTATAAATATTATCTGGTATAATCTATCTATAAATATTGCGCCTTGAATAAATACGAACAGAATAGTAAGAAAATTGATAGCAGTTACAAAATTTGAGTAACTTGCGAAAGCTTAACCATCTTAACCATAAAAATGATGAAGGATTTTATTTAAATTCAAGGATTAATTAAAATTGTGCAATTACGTTGTTCATTTTATCGATCTAGTAAGCTACAATATTTATCTCGAGTTGTTATGACAAAGTTACAGTGATATCGATTTTAACAATTGCAGGAAGATTTGGATGACAAGTGTGACGAGCTAGCCGAAGCAACGAACTCCGACCAATAATAACTACGACGAATTCTAATGATAGGCGGTAGTGGTTACGGCTGAATACACGAACAAAAGGGACAAGAGAAAGAGTAAACATACGGCGTACAGTATCGATGAAAGGGCGAGGAATGAGAAAAATGGCGGGAAAAGTTGCACGTAAACTGCTGCACTCGACCAACGCGCATGCCTGCGCAGAGACTCGTCGATATTATAACCCATTCGTGATGGTCGTGCCAACCACAGTTTTAGACAGTGCTCTCTAATAATATAAAGATGTGTACGTTAGGAACTACTCGCGATAATCCTATAATGTTTTAATAAGCTGGAAATCGTTCGCTGCTATATGATGGTTCAAATAGAAACGCGATACACCTGCTCGTTTCCTTTCCCTATAGTATAATTTTGATATTCTCGTAGCAACAACGTACGTGTTCTTCACACATGCAGGTACAGTCACGCGTGTACGCGTGCGCGCGCACACATACACATACACACGCATACATATCTTTTGTATAAATTTATTATGTGACTGCCTTTCTATCAATAAAGAGTGATACAGTTTGTTTCATCTGCGCACTGTTAATTCATTACATATGTATTATGATTTACGGTGTTATCTACTAAATTCAGAGAAAACACACATTTTTTTTCGCATTTTCAGAAATAATTTCGTTTGTGCCGTTACTTGATAATGAAGATCGAAGTTTTAACGTTATTATTATCTTATGGGCTTGTGTAGAAATACTTTCATAATGTCCTATTTTATTTCGTTTTATTTCATGATAATACACCCGTACAAAGCTTTCAATAATTTAATTAGAAAAATTAGATTTTTAATGTAGTGTTATTATACATTCTTAAATCTGTGATAATGTGTGCGAAAGAAAGGAGTTATCGATATAATTGAAAGTTTGCAAGTTACTTATTTTAAATTCATCGGTACCGTGACGTTAGCGTTGTATAATACTTTTTCATTTAAACGTAACAAGATTCTTACGCAAAATATTACTGTATGTAGATGCATTTAAAAATGTATATAATTTGCTAATCTTATCATTTGTAGCTCTGTACTGTTTTGTAAAAAGTATCTTTTCAATTTTTACGGGTGGCATATGTACAAAATATAAATAATTCCAATATTACCAAAAATACATATAGTCTATTGACAGCACAGTGGATAAAAAGAATTTCTGATATAAAAACTAAAGTTTTTTTTTTTCTACATCTTCATTAACATTAAATTAAATTCACTTCATTAAATAAAAAGTTTGAGAAAAAATTGTGTTAAGAGAAACGATGGTAATAAACAAATTTTAATATGTGAGACAATTCATGTTTAAACAAATTAAAAATTAAAAATCAGTGCTCAATAGGTTTAAAATTATAAGAGAACTTGGGAAGTGTTCGATAAGTGGGAAGTAAACGGTAAGTGGCCGACGTGAATAATAACACAGTGTACCTTAGATAGCATGGAAAATTACCCAGAGTACACGATGCAACGTTCAAGCGATAGGAGATAGAAACGTTCCTATTTCGCTAGAGTTTTAGTAACGAGTTACGACCAATAGATGGCGAAGAATCATTTCATTCAGCTTCTGCAATTGGTGTGTTTTAGTCACGTGGGACGGTCGCGGGACGCGTCGACAGCGCCAAGCGTATTTGGCGGGACCGCGCTTAGACGGCGTCGTCTGTGCTTCTGGCAAGTCTGTTGTGTAGCGAACCACAAAGGCTCTTGTCGGATAATGGTGAGTATCCGTGAGGTTTCAGCGGATTCTTTAGCCATCCATGTCTCGTAACTACATAGCCGTGTTCTACGATGTTCACACTGTCTTCTGGTGAAGTTTCGTGCTTGTATCTTGTAAATTAACCGTGATTTTCGTTTCCGAACAGGCTGGCGGAAAGGCGGGCAAGGACTCTGGTAAAGCAAAGGCGAAGGCGGTCTCTCGTTCAGCGAGGGCCGGTTTGCAGGTGAGTTTATTACCTTTTATTCAACTAATTCAAATACATAGAATATAGTTTTATCAATATTATTTATCGACAACAAACGTATACATGATTATTCGGTACTTTTGGAAGGTAAACAGGTTAAATCATCATGGTTGGCGCGAAAAACTGAAGCGTTTTTAGATAGCTGATGAATAATTCATTTTTTTTTAAGTTTTAATGATTTTTATGTAAATAAAACATATGAAAGTGATTCATTCAACCTTAATTTATGTGTATTACTTCAAATAACTAAAGAAGCTTACGAGGAAATCTATTATTTTTTCAATTAAAGTTATGATGGTTACATCTAAGTTCGGAAGTTTTCAAACGAGACGGTTGGACTGTGTAGTCCCCCTTCTCCTGTATATTTCAATTCAACTACTAATATAACTTTCATTAATTTTTTTTTATAATTATCGAGGAAATGTGTAATACGGATCGATATATAAGTAATTGTTCATATTTTTATTATATCATGTCAATGATGTCGAAGTAATTTGAAATGATAGTAAACATAAGTCTGCTGCCACTGTATTGTTATTTTTGTATTCATTTACGTTTATCCGTCATCGAAACTTAGTTGATAACATGTTCATTATTTATTTATTTTCATATATTATTTTATTATTTATTTAAATATTTAAAAGCAGACATACAAACGACGTGTGACATTTTGAAGTGTTATATATTGTGATTATTAGTGACATTGTGGAATTAGTGAAGTAATTATTTATTAATAATAATTAGAAATTTGTAATTTTTAATAGTATGAGCAAGTGTTTTATTCTGTTAAAAGTAAATAAGTGAAATGCGGGGCGTTCACTAGTGAATGACGAAACCACATACTAAGCTGGAAAGCTCGGGAAAGCCGAATCATCGTATGCCGCTCAATATTCGTTACGTTAAAAGAGGACCGAGTTACGTGTATTGTTCCATGTGCAGACGAGGTTGGTTTTTCTTTTAGAAGAATCAGATACAACATGATTTTATAAAGAATTATAGTAAGAAAAATATTGAAAACGTACAATATCATGCAATATTGTATCATTCCTCTTCGTTCGATATTTCTTACACGAAAAGCTGCTGACGCTGAGTGACCTTATGTTATTTGAACAGACATTACATGTGATACGTTCTAACCCAAAAATATTTACCTTGTCTTGAAAACAATACTATCTTTTCATGTAATTTTTACCTACATTAAACATACTACGTTTGTTTTTTTTTCCAGTTTCCAGTTGGTAGAATTCATAGGCATTTGAAAAACAGAACTACAAGTCACGGTCGAGTCGGTGCTACAGCGGCGGTATACAGTGCAGCTATCTTGGAATACCTCACTGCTGAGGTGAGTGAGAATGTATGTGAAAGAAGAAAGCGTTCACAAAACAAAGAAAGAGAGAAAGAAAGGCAAATACGCACAATAGGAAGATCAGCCGTTATAACCAGGACTATGTGTTGGCATCACTAGCGACTGATGACGTCACTAACGCCAGCATCATGGCCGATTTTTCCCGCCTTTTCGTCAACCGTAGGCAAATAAGGAACAACATATTCTTCTGCTTATCGTGTTATATAGAATTCTTTCACTTTTAAATTCATCTTTTTCATTTCTTTCTGAAATATACATTTATTCTGCAACTGTTAGGAAAATATTATCATATACTGAAATTATAAGAAATAATCTTATAGATAAATAATTCTTATATCGATAGAGATTTAGTTCATGATTGCGTTTATGATTTTTAAATATTCCATGTACTTACAAAATCATGTTAGAATTTAGTTGAAATGTTTTGTACACTGTTTCATTTTTTCATATTACTTTTTGTTCTCTATACATAAGTTATTCTGTTTGGTAGTTTTATGTGCTAATAGTTTGATAAATGTTATGCAACATTAGATATATTAGGGAGCAATATTTTGTTTGTTGTAGGTACTCGAATTAGCAGGAAATGCATCAAAAGATTTGAAGGTCAAACGTATTACACCAAGACATCTTCAGCTTGCTATTCGTGGTGATGAAGAATTAGATAGTCTTATTAAAGCAACTATCGCAGGAGGAGGTATGTTTTTTAATGATTTTATATTGATTTTTATGAGTTTTAGGAATTCCATAATCTTGTCATTAAATCAAAGCATTGGTTTCTTTTCAAAAAGTAATGCTATAAGAGATTATAGAAAATAAAGAGTAAAGATTATTTCTCTTGTATTTATTAGTAATATTACTTCTGTGCTATAAATGACTAATATATTTTTATATTATGTATATGTGATTAAGATCTAATAATATATTTATTTTATACAATTTTATTCTGTTATAGGTGTTATTCCACATATCCACAAATCGTTGATTGGAAAGAAGGGTTCACAAAAGCCAGCATAATTTAGTGATTCATTTAAGAACATTTGAAGCTATGTAGACAAAACAGATGCGAAGCAGCAGAGTGATTGTTGACAAAGTGTACCTACGTTACTAAATTGATGGCGATTCACCACGTAATTGGCATTCAGAACCGGAAATTTTAATAATATAGGTCTGAAATGAAAAAAATTTTAGTGTATGCTGCACTGCAATTGATTGACTAGCGATGCGTTATAGCATGGCTTGTTCAAAGCTGCAGAAGTCTTCGATGCTGTATGCAAATATTAAGTGTTTTGAAAGTTGGAGTATTTAAGGACTTGGATGTGTCGGATAGTTCGTAGTTTCAAAAAGGAGGTCTTTCCTTTTGGTCTCTTACTTCAGCGATGGTGTTTAACTTTGTCTCTTTTTTAAACTATCGCGTGCAACTAATGCTCTTTTCTTAAATAATGCTATTTGGAAATAGCATAACAAACTTTCGAAAAGATGTCTAATACGTGCAAGTATTAATAACTTTTATTTCACAAGTTTCTTTTACTTTCAAGATTTAAACTTTCAAATTTTTACTTACACCTAAATGTGTAATATCTTACAAATGTAGTTCCAAGTAAAAATAGTTGCATACTCATTCTTGTTATTAAATACTCTTAACTATCTTATAGCACTGAACAGTGTGCATAAAGATTAAATTGTGCATCTAGATTAAATTTTTAATTTTGGACAATTTATATTCTAAAATTTGTTTTGCCAAATATTTTTGATTAAATTTTTAAAGTTTTCAGTCTCTATAGTATTGACGTAGGCATGTAAGATTACTGAGAAATTATACTTCTATAAACATTGTTTTCATTCTGCTAACTTTGCAAGGGCTACTGATATTTATGAGCCGTAATTAGTGAACTCTCCAAATTAACTAGACTAACATGAAATTATAACGCAATATGTTGAACTTTACGTCACAGTGTAATTTATGCCCATAATTATGAGACTGGAATCTTTGAATCTGATAAGCTTTTACTTGTGTAAAAGTAAAATGAAAAGTATTTCGGCATTGCAAAGCCTTTGATGTAATACGTAATGTTTATTGCAGTAGTGTTGAATTAATGTAATATCCATAGTGTACAGATTGAAGTAATTTGAAACATACAGACAGTATACGTTTGTAAGAAAAATAATTATCGACTTTTTTTTTGTTTCGTTCACATCATTTCTCATTTTATTTTTCATAAAATTATTGTTACTTGCATCATTTAATGTAATCTTCGCTGTATTCACGGTTTTACGCCGTATATTAAATACCAGCCATATGTAAAATGTTCATTTTCATAATAAAGAGCAATTTTACTATTAAGCATCGTTCACTCACTAAAAATTGATGAAAGTTGAAAAAAAGTATACTAATTTACATTTTGTGCCTTCTTTAAAAGTTGTTAAATTGAAAGGAATTAAAGAGTAATTGTATAATTAAAAGGCTGTAAAACAACGAATGATTTTTGTAAATGCATCATTGTACACAAATTGCGTAATGTCATTTCCGTATTATGTGTAAACATACAATTTAAAAATACACTCTTTGTGCTAGAAGGTAGCGTCTGTCTAATTAAAATTGAAAATTACCTCAGGACCAGTCGTATAATAATACATGATATACGTTTAGATATAAAGAATTTTTAAACGAACGGAGAAATTTTTTCTTTTATTGTGGTTATTGTTCATTTCTAGAAATAAATGCGTTTATTTGTAAAGAATAACGATATACGCTATTTTACAAACGTTAGTATTGCCATAATACGAATGATCTTATTTATAAAATAAGAATAGAAATAGATAAACATTTATTTACTTATTTACTCTTGTTATTATTCAACGTTTTATAGGGTTTCATATGTCGGCATGGCTGCATCCAGTGCTGCCATCATAGTAGGAGCGGTCTCCTATCACTATTTCAGTTCCCCCACCAGCAACCAATCCCATGGCTCGTTCAAAACCTTGCGGCTTTTCGTCGAGTCTGCTCATAGTGGGGTACGGTATAGTTTCTTGCGTTTGAGTAGGAGTGAGATAGCAGCAAGGAAGAGCTCCCCACTAAACCGGTGAGAACCTCAGTCGCCTTTCACGAGTTCCGTCGGCTGGGCGACGTGTGTTGTGGGTATAATCGTAAACGTGAGCATTAGCCGCCTGATACATAAATTCCACTCGGAGCAGGAACGAGCGAGCCCGTTTATCGACTTCGCCTTGGGGACAGGATTCCTTGACGGATCGTCCTCGGATCCGTCGGGAGAGGGATCGGGGGGTAGTGCACATCGGTGACAGAACGCGTGGTTAATGTCAAAGTGTAGTTGTATGATCAAGATTTTGTATACCTTCAAATATCTTCGTTTGCGGTAATTGGAATTTCGATCGCGAAAAAATCAGTGAAGAGTAGGACCTGTTTCCGTTTTACTCACCTTGCGCTGTTGCCGGTGTTTACGCCTTTGTGCTGAATTTTTACGCGCGCGAAGGGTGCGGGAAGGGGAACGATTTGTCCAAAAACCGGTAATTCGTAATTATAAAGTATCGTATTCTGTTTCGAAGCGGTCTTCTTGGTTTCGTGGCAAGAGTCAACGGTATGACTTCCTTGGCATAACTTCCCATATATAACACCTGGGCTGCAGATTCTTCGAAGATGACGAGCAGACACGCGGAACGAGTCTTCCTCCGTGACCGGTAAGTCTTTCCGTTTCCATAATCTTTGCTTGACAGTGCTTTTACTCGATCAAGTTGTTAGCGAAATTATTACCTCTGGTTACGGTGAAAGGAAGATCTCCGCGTTATATTGTGTTTCACTTTGAATTCATGAACATCACCTTCTTCAGAGATATTCATAGTAATTTCGAATTCACCGAAAGTGTATTCGCGCTTTTCATATTACTGCACTGATTTTATGTGCTCTATCATTCGTAATTACCACGAATCATGGAAAATTAATCATACGTATGGTGTATATGTGTGTATGTATTTGAACACTAGTTGCTTCGACGAAGGTCAATGAACAGTATCGACGCTTGGTTTCGACGTTTTTGTGATCGTGTTAAATGCTGTGTTTGTGATCGACGTTTCTGCGATTGTGTTAAAGTTTTTTACGAATTGCACAGCTTCGTTGTGTAACTATAATTTGTGGGGTTATTTTTTATTGTGAAAAAACAATTTACGAGTATTGGAGTCATTGATTATTTACGTCATTTCTATTTGACAAGAATTTACACTGGAACATTTATACATTTAAGCATTATATACTTGCATCATATTTTTCTAGCACTGCTTATTTAAAAACTGTAAATATGTGTTATATAATAGTAATTATATCAAATATATTACATAATTTAGCTCAAATAAATTTCAAAAAATTTGACTATTAGGTTATTAATTTCCAATAACAGATAAATTAGTTTATTTGTTGATACAGAGGCGATAAATTTATGCAAAGCATATTATTTATACACAAGCTTTCGATTATATTTATTGATTCCATTAATGTTTACTTGCTCACATTTCGAAAGGATATTAGATATCATGAAAACAAACACGAAACAGTGCTTTATACTATAGTAGCGTGTACACAATATTTCTGAGCGTTCACGCAAGCTTCGTTTTTCACAGAAGTTTCTGCTTTTTCAGTTGCGAACACTATTTTAACTGTACTTTATACATTTACTTAGGAGATGGCAAGAACTTCTAAATCTCGATCGAGTTGGCTTTACGTGCATTCGATCCCTTAGGTCAACGGTCTTGGGAGCATGGCCATTCAAAAGACATATCGTAAAAATAAAAAACACATAAAAGGAAGATGTAATACGAAAAATAGATTTGGCGTGCAACAACAGAATAGTAATCCATGCGTTTACCCATTCAACTACTATACGATAGCTAACCGTTACTCGATGTTTTTGTATATATCTTAGCGCTCGAGATTTTTTGCTAATTTCTCAAAAATTAATGGCTATATACACAAACCCTTTTACTGTTCTTTTATTGTTGACCTAAGGGATTAAATCCACGTAAAACCAATTCGATCCAGATTTCCAAGTTCTTGCTATCTTCCTTGTTAGTCAAATCAGCATCTATTTATTTCACTGAAATAATTATGACGAGGCCACTCACTTTAGTGAATATTATTGCGTTAAATATTTATTCATTCTGCTCAAGAAAATTTCATGTCTTATTCAACCTAACGGATTAAATCCACGTAAAACCAATTCGATCGAGATTTCGAAATTATAGATATTTCCTTGGTAGTCAAATCAGCATCCATATATTTCGCCCGAGTAATTATAGCATCGCTCACTTAAATAACTCTACCTTTTACTATGGTATCGTAGCTCGAACGTGCTACGTAAATTTGATATTTAGCGAATAATATCGTTGCATAATATAAATATTGAACTATATAATTTTTAATTTTTTATCTTTCTAATTTCATTCCTTATTCCATTCTTCTGTTATTATCATTGCATTCCTCGATCTTTTGCTTATAATTCGGTACGCATTCGTATTCTCTCGCTGTGTCATGGGTGTTTCTTCGAATCGACAAGAATTTGCAAGCTTCTCTGGAGTACATTTAAAAATTTCGCCCGGCGATTTTTCCTAGCTTACGAATCAAGCAGAAATATTTTCTGTAATCTAAATACCAAGATACTTGGAACGCAAGGTCGGTTGATCGGCAACGTCATCGAGGCGACGGTAAATGTTGCGGTGAAAGTTTATCCCGTGTGGTAGGGATCTCCGCACGCCACGTTCATGGAGGAATGAACACGGAATCGTTCTTAGAACGAAAGCCTTTGCCACAGCTTGGGAATTTCATGTATAAATATAGGATATATTTCTTCGTTACTTATCCTGAAGTGGAAAAAAAAAGTGTAATCGCAGTTGCATATCTTTCCACGGGTTTTTCTACGTGCTGTTTTATTTATTCGAGTATTGATTATAGTATCCCACACGTATCTTTTAATTAAACAATTAAATAGATCGTATCTCTGAAGGATTGCCAAAGTGCTCACATTGATCACATTCGCTAAATGATCCAGTCAAGCCAGAAATAAATTATATAAAAAAGAAAGTAGTTTTTAATTTATGTTACTTAGATTGTTAGTGGACCTTCTTTCTGCCCTTTAACCCCAACCGTACCACGCCCCGGTCAAATGACTGGTTTTCAAATTTCAATTTAAAACCATGCATTTGTCTTTCCCCTGTATTTTCTTAAAAGTAAAAATATGCAATTTTTCTTTTCTTTTTTTATTATTATCTAAAGGCTGTTTACTATATTAAATCGACAATCGCCTGCATTCCTTTCCGAAGAAATATGATTATTTCGTAACCGGTCATTTGCCCGGATAAGTGTCGGTACGGTTAGTGTTAAACGTATCGTCTCATTATTCGTCGTGTATAGTGGTTGGTATTAGACGACTTCTTTCTTACATACCTGCAGGATTAAACGAGCTTACGAAATACATTTGTCTCCACTTTTTATCGTCACTTTTTCATTATTCCCTATTTCTTCAAACCTAAAACACTTTCCCTTCTGTTTTTCATCTTTTTTCTTTGCTTCATATGTACACGTTGTCCCTCCTTAGGTAAAATGTTCTATTTCTCCTGGAATAGTTAAAGTTCCATGTGGTTTTCATTTTTTAAACAAAATTAGAACGTGTGTGTATGTTTTGCAGGTTTCTAGAAACAGCGTAATTTGTTTGTCCTGACTGTTTCATAGATCGTTTGAAATTATGAAACCTCATTTTTCTCAGATGTTCAAGAATGTTAGTTGGGGGACAATTGAACTGAGGAGGTCAGTGCACTAAGCATATAATATTCATATTGCACACGCAAATCAATTATACATGTTTTAGATCCTGTTTTTTTTTTTTTTTATTGATTCATTCTTTTCTCTTTGAGTTTTTAGTCTTTTGTATATTTAGAAGCAGCGTATTCAGTATTCAAGGCGATCAATGTTGAGGAATAATTTTTCATTCACGCAAGATTATAGCTTTTGCGAGTGATCTGTCTGACTTGTTATTCTTTGTGTTGATAAACATCTGATACTATTACATTCAGGACAATTCATTTGTCCCATTTAACCCTACTGCGTTCTTCGTTTTGACTGTACACTTAAGACTTTTGGGTGAAAAAGGACCTAAGACCTTATGTGTAATAATTGTTGTTTCCAACGCGACATATGAACCTAGACAATAAATGTTTAAAATAATGTTAAGGAACGTAAACTTGATAACAGCGAAAATTACTGAAAATATAAAAAGGCGGTGGGTCGAAAAAGACCCGAATACCGCTCTTAGGGTTAATGTTTCTGTCTTGATAATAATAGTGGTATCATTCTTGGTTTATCGTTATATTGCAGTTCACTGAGCTAGCACTTAACATATTACATGTTAAATGTGAGTTTGAGGCATGGAGGTGGTTTAAGTGTTTTCTTACAGATACAGTTTAGTTATATTTTCAAGCCGGATGTAAGTATTTTAAGTGTCCTTGTGTTGGCGCATCAGAGCTAAAATTAATTTTCAAATTAGTTTTCAATTTAGTTATCTGCTAGTGCGACACTTTTGGACGATACCGTTTTACTGTAGTTGTTTGTCATGTTTAAGCACAGTTTATAACAATAAGGTTCAATTCTTTTACCTCTGTGGTAGTTATCTTTTTATATTAAAAGAAAATGATTATTCGATCTTTCAGGCAGTTTGTAACTTCCGAGCAAAATGCAAAAGATCGCGTAAATACGTGTAAAACAAGGTACTGTTTTAGCACTATTTTCTAGAACAAGAGACTTTATAAAACGAAGGAGACAGGTTTTACATTCGTTCCATTCTTGGTTCTACGTGGTTACATAACTGCGAAATGATAACTTGCTACTGGTTCACGCTTAAACTTTAAGTTTACTTCAATAGTATGCAAATAGAGGTAATAAGATTATCAGGAACAAGGGGCAAAATAGCTTTTTTTAGATTATTTATTTAGTGTTATTATCTCCAAATGGGAACCTGCTTGAATGAAGTTTCTCAGTAATTTTTACTTATTCAAGTTTCATTTATTTTAAATTACAGCGCGTCTTTGGTATGTGGTTCAAAGTCGTTTGCCGTTGGTAGACACTTTTGTGAGAGAATTAAAACTGTTCGGAGACATTATAAACACGAGGTCTTCGTCCTGAGTAGGCAGACACGGTTTATCATATTTTTCGAAGACATTCACGAGCAGGTCTGGTTCGCGGGTTCTTGATTCAGCGGGACAGCGTGATCCGTTAGCACATCCTCTGGGTCATCGACCATACTGTTGCATAGAAGAGTCCATAAGCCCGACTCGTACCTACCATGAAACCGTAGGATTTTCTGCCAGATCCCCACCAAAGTTTCTTGTGCGGCAGTTTAACGTCGGGTATCTTTTAGGAACAGCGCACTTGTCGCTGCACCAGACACGCAGTCCATTTAATTTTGCGTTTAAAATTCATTTTTCACAGGAGCGTAAATTTTCATGGAAATATAAAGTTGTTTCTGTCTACCTTTCGAATTGCGAAATTTTTTCCTGGTTGTACGTACGATCATTTTTGAACGTTTTGGTCTTCGTTGGAATAGTAATTGGGGGATGATTGAATTGACCCTCGCGCAGACTGGAAATTTTTAATTGAAGCGTTAACCAGAAATGTATAATACTGTGTTATTTAATTTAAA